AAAGGCCCATCTCCCTCTAATGTGACCCTGAAGTTGTTGAAGACCCACACTTGGTTATGGATGTTAGGGAGGGAAATCTAAACTGAATTATAGAACTGTTACGGAAAGTATACTATTTATTAATCCTTATTGTTCCTGATTGTATTGATTATTATTGATTTCTTGTCTCCATTTCAGGCGCCACAGAACTATACATCAGAATGTGTATTTCTCGAAGAAATGATGGAGAACTACTACAATCTATATTCTTCCTGTGCCTATGGCACACGAAAACGACCGTGGTACGTCGCGTTGGTGAGTGAATTTCTCAGAGTTCTATAAACATTGCCAAAAATCGATAGTCCACTTTGACTGATATTGATTTTCCTTTTCATTCAAGCGTCGAACGGGACGGAGTCGTCGAGGAAAAAACGCACGGCGACGGAGGAAAGCCAGCCATTTCCTCGTTGTCCATTATGACACACCACCGCCCAGGAGCGACGGACAAATAGATCTAGGTAAGATTTTGTAACATTCAGAGGCATGCTCTGCGACAACAGAAACGAGACAATGGGATTCAGCAGTAGGCCCCCATGACTCACAGTGGAGAAAGTTGAATAGAAACGGCTGGAACACTGGAAATGGGGGCGCGCTCTTTTCTTGGAAGCTACGAGGCAGACAGTCCAAAAGACTCTAGAGCCCGAGGTCAGAGAAAATGCTCAGAGACGAGAAAGCACAGGGCCGAGGGAGACGCAGACACCAGCACATTCGCCACGGGAGAAACCTTAGACGCGTAAAGCGTGTCTGAATGCAGCTTCCTTCCAGATTTGCGGACCCAGTTACCACACCAACAGGCACAAAAGTTCTAATAGTCGCGGAATGTGCCTTTAAGTAACATGGAACATTTTCTGTTCTGGAGCGTTCTCTCTTCCCAAATCTGAAATTGCTTTCAGGCCGACTGCTCGCCCCATCATTGAAACATCAGCCACCTAAGGACCAGTCGTTTGTGCGACGACAAGCGTTGGCAAAGCAAATGCAAACGCGAATCGAGCGCATACAGGAGCGGGTGGCGAATCGTCGTCCGACGCCTCCGGCAATGCGGAAACTTCGCAAGCGAAAACGACGACGACAACAGCGACTGGAACGTGAACAGCGCCAACGACGACTCCGACAACAAGAATTTGGAGCGATTACGCGAAGAAGAGTTGAATCGAAAACGTAGGCCGAAGTGAGTTCAAGCATAGAATCTACCAAAAATACTTGAAATACTGCGTGCATTTTTGTTCATAACTCTTCCCACACGCGAGACCAAGTGCGATTGAAATAATCCCATGCAGGCGGCTGAAATCATACTGGCATACCTACGCCAGTTCGTTACTGACCGCGCGCGTAAAATGAATCAAATAATTGTGCTTGCGATTAAAGAGAATGACACTTGTTGCTAGGAGCAGATTGCAGGTCAGGATCAAACGTGCACTGTTGTCCTCAACCAAAAACGGCCAAACTACATCCTTGGTGTCACTCGCGTGCTCTAAAAAAATCAATATGGCATTACTCACAGGGCTAGCGGTCTGCTTTTATTTCTACTTTACTTGCTGAATTTCCAACATAACAGAGATGTTCTTTTCAGGTTGTCCGGTGCTGGCCTTCTCTGGTCTCGACCGTACTAATCTTTCATGTATTCCGAACGCCAAATTCATTTATGCATTGCCATTGTTATCTTGTGCATTATTGATAGCTAATTGATTTTATCCCTTCGCCTTCGCTCGACGGGGGTAATTTCAAACACAGTAGAAGCTCCGCCCAATTCGACTGATCTCCGCGCGCTGGTCGTTCGCTCTCTAGCATCTCGCAGCATCTCTTTTTGTTTGTTCTCTTAATCTGCTATTAATATTTGTCATTTAATTTCAGTGCTTTAGACTTTCGATGTACAATAATATGTGCACTTACAGATAGCTAGTATTTAGTAGTGACCGCGAGGCCAGTGGGAGCTAACAGGGATTGCTTGGGAGTTAACCGAAGATTATGGATTTCTACGAGTAAATAAGCGCCCAGAAATAAGCCGAGCAACAGCGCTACGGCGAAGCAGAGCTTTGAATAGCGAACCAAGCTTGGGCTACCCTACGGAGTGGTCGTGGATGGACCCAACCTTTCGAGGAGGTGCAAAGCAATAAGCCGCGTAATGGAAGCCTCGGAGCCAAGAGCATTCTAAAACTGGCCTGCTCTGACTTCACAGAATACTCAGGTAGCCTTATCCAGCCAACAGCAGACACCAGATATGCTCAGTGCGCGCTTCAGCTTGTTCCTCTTTCACAAGAACCGTCAGGCCTCAGCCATTGTGATGGAAGTTGGCGCAAAAAGGATGGAGACTGGGCCGCATTCTCAAATCGCGAAGCAGCAGGCCAGTATCGCTTTATCATTGAAAAACTAGGCTCATGGAATCCATCTTCTTCATGACGTTCGTGCTACCTTTAAAAATTGCTTAACCACAGGGCCGTAGCTGAGCTTGAAGTCTAGTACGCCGTCCATGGATTCGGTTGCTCCTCTTTTCTGAACCGGTAACTCCTAATTGCACTGGGTGTTATTGCTCGTTCCGATATCCGAAAACGGGTAAGGTGACAATTCGGCTGTAAATGACTTCTTCATGGCAAGGACCCTCACCATTCCCTTCTTGATCGGTTGGTGTGATGCGGTAGCGCGTTCAAACTCCGCTCAAATGATTGGTCCTGCCACATGAAGTAGACTTCATGAAGGTCAAAACCAACTGAATCACGACGTGGAGAACTGGGGTCAACAGAGATATGCCACACAGATCCTTGGCGCTCGTTCACTGCTACCACATGTATGGACTCGGGCCAAACGAGCCTTCCATCCTTTCGTTCCGATAATTGGTATACGATTGCTGGACAAAAACGCTGATTCGTACATCAGATATATCCCTGAGGACGCCAAATACCAAATTAGATCATCTAAGGACCTTGCACGCATGGCGCATCCCAAGAGAAGAGCTACCAACACCTTCTGTGTACCACACAAGAGAATCCGAATTCGAATCTGTTCTCATCCATCGAACACCAAGCAGCTCCCAACAGCTCCCACTGGCATCGTTCCCGAACCAGCGCGTGCCTTTCGCGACCAATATTACAGTATGCTAATCCCAACACATCCCTTCTAAGGCCAAACTATACACATTCAACAACGCGCGCGATGTGCTACGTGTTCAGCTATTTCTACGCCTTTCTTTCACATGAAATACGCACCACAGAT